ATGATCACGGAGTCTCATTTCTCACTCACCTGTTCGTGTTTCTAAAGAGGATGCTGTTGAGAGGTGATGCGGGCCAGAGGAGGCCCAGTGGGAGGAGGAGCAGGGATGAGAGAGAAGGCCCTAGCAAAGGCGGGATGGGCAGGGGTTGGTGGGTGAGGGAAAGGTGGAGTGTGAATGATGCTAAGGCTTTGAGATGGAAGGAAGTCCCTGTCCCCTGGAGTTCACCCTCTTTGGGGAAGCAGGGCACAAGCAGAGGAGAAAAGCCACAGCGCAGAGGAGCACATGCTCTCCCGTCTTATGGATCTGTTGGCCCCCATCCTGCTCCAGGCCCGTTGTCCTTCTATATGACTTGGGGAGTGAGATTTTTTTTTTTTTCTTTTTTGAGATGGAGTTTTGCTCTTGTCACTCAGGCTGGAGTGCAAAATGGTACAATCTCAGGTCACTGCAACATCCACCTCCCAGGTTCAAGCGATTCTCCTGCCTCAGCCTCCGGAGTAGCTGGGATTACAGGCACCCACCACCATGCCCGGCTAATTTGTGTATGTTTAGTAGAGATGGGGTTTCACCATGTTGTCCAGATTGGTCTCGAACTCCTGACCTCAGGTGATGCAACCGCTTCGACCTCCCAAAGTGCTAGGATTACAGGTGTGAGCCACCGTGCTTGGCCCTGAGGAGTGGGATTCTAAAAGGTCTCCAGTTCCAAACCTGTAGCCTGCATGATGTCAGGAAACATCTCATGGGCAGGCATAGAGCTACCTGGGGTTCCTGGTGAGGCTGAGGCTGTGGACAGTTGCATTCAAATAAAATGCCAAATGAGCTCCACAAAGCCCATACTACCTTTGTTGTCCTGGCCGTTGAGAAGTTTGTCACAGTGAAGATTGCTTCATGTCCCTACCAAGTTGTGTTCCGTCTCCACATTGTGTGCCCCTTTGATTCTGGACTTCCAGTCTGCATCTGTGCCACCTGCCGTCCTCTGAGCTTCTGCCACCCCCTGGCCAAAATCCCTTCATAGGTGCTCAAATTATTCGCCAGTTCTCTAAATAGCAGTTCTCAAAATTTTGGCAGAACACTTTATTATACCCTTAAATATATTTGAGGGCTTCATAGGGCCTTTGTTCATGGAGGTTATAGCTATCATTATTTGATGTATTTGAAATTGTAACTGGGAAATTTGAGAAATGTTAAAAATATTTTAACATAAAAATTCACTGCATGATAAATTATTTTAAAAAACAAAAAATATCATGAAAAGAGTGGCATTTTTACATTTTTGCTCATCTCTTTCATGTCAGCTTAACAGAAGCTCATACCTGCTTCTGCATGCAGTCTGTTGCAATATCACACATCATGTAACCTCCAGAAAACTCCACCATATGCATGTGAGAGAAGGCGAATCACGTGTTAGTGTTGTTATGAAAATAATGTTAACGTTGCAGACCCCTTGAAAGGGTCCCAGGAACCCCCAGGAGGTTGCAGACCCTAAATAGTGAAGGGCAGCATCTCTTCGTTCCTCTCAGGGCCTGGCACAAAGTGAGTTCTCCGAAAGCATTTGCTGAGTGAATCAGGCAGCAAGGTACTGCGTTTTTGGACTGGGAGTAGGGACTTCTCCCTCCCTGGAGGCTTGGAGAGGCTGTGGAATGCATCCCTGACGGGACGAGATTCCATCCTGAAAATGAGCAGGTCCAGAGAGGACCCCTGGGTAGAGGGCACAGCAAGGGATGAGACGCAATCACTGTATCATGGCCATTTCCACTGGGCTGGGCTCTGCTCACCTGCCTGGTGCTCATCCCCAGCATCTCTGCTGTAGATCGTAACACAGCTCTGCTGTTGCCTTTACAGGGAACCCACCAAGACCAACCTGGTCACATTCTTCCATACCGACCTCAGCGGTTACCTCCCACAGAACGTGGTGGACTCCTTCTTCCCCCGCAGCATGACCCGGTTTTATGCCAACCTTCAGAAAGCAGTGAAGCAATTCCATGAGTAATGCCATCATTACTTCTTGGCAAAGAACTCCCATGACTCATCGAGGAGCTCCAGCTGTTGGAATACCAAGGAGCCTGGGAGCATGCGGAGGCCTGTGTTGACTCTTTGGAACAAGCCGATGGACTACACATCTCTGAGAATGCCAACCAGAGGCGGCAGCCCACCCTTCCTGCCTCCTGCCCCACTCAGGGTTGGCATGCGATGAGCCATTCATGTGCTCTAAACTCCATCTGCCTGTTACCCAAACATGCCTCTCCTGGCAGGGTAGACCCAGGCCTCTAACCATCTGACAGGGACTCGGGCTGGACACCGTGTGATGCACTCTGGCCCCAAGCCTTTATGTGCCCATCACTCTCAGAGACCGCGTTTCCCTGACTGTCATAGAGAATCATCATCGCCACTGAAAACCAGGCCCTGTTGCCTTTTAATCATCTACAGCTCCCTCAGTCCTGCGCTGCAGACCCTCAAATGTATTTTTCTGATACAGACGTTGTATATGGCTTTACTGCCACAAAAGAGTTTTTTTCCTTAAAAAAGGTGTCAACTTGGAAAATAATGGTTTAAAAATGGGATAACCATTAAGGAAAAACACTTCCAATGTATCTTCCATTTGATGAATTTGTTTTTCTCTCTTTATCCCCTCATGGTGGATTTCCATGCCCTCAATGAAACCAGGCAGTGTGAATCTGTTCCAGCCCAAATCTGCAGCATTAGGGATGAGTTCTTGGCAGTGATTCTGAACTGAGCATGTACTCACGTCTGCATGGGGAACTCTGGGGAGAAGAGCCTTCTTTTTCTTTCCCCTGGGCATTTGCCTTTCCTTGTCTTCTTACTGAGGTGGAGGCAGGAGGTCTCTGTCTTCCAGGCCCTGGCCAGGCCATCCTGCCATCAGGAAAGATAGACGAGCATGCCTCCCTCTAGCAGCCCTGGCTGGAATCTCCCCTCCAGATCTTGCTGCAAGACTGCACAAACCCACAGGGGCCATGTCCACCCAGGCACATCATCAGAACCAGGAAGCACAGCCTTGCCACCTGGAAGGGGCCGCAGCAGCCATGCAAGTTTCTTTCCCTATCTCCGATCCAGAGAGGGATCCTCTAACATTCTCTAGCAACCTTATCTGCACCCCCGCCACCTTCCTTGTAAGAAAGACCGCGTGTGTCTGACTAAAATCCCTTCACGTTGCATTTACCCAGGTTACTATTGCGCGTGCAGGATGTTTTCACAGTGTTCTCAGCCTTTGCTCCTGCAAATAGAAAACATTTCCCCTGTGTTACTGTTACTTCCCTATTTTTGAGTCCTGGGGTGACTGTCTCTTAAATGTGCCAAGATGTGAGCAAGCTTTAAAACACGACAGCTCAGTGTTAAGGGGGCAGAAAGCTTCCTCTTTCTGTGTTCTATTGCAACTACAGATTCCACAATCATGCCTTAAGATCTTTTAGCTAACACCCTTTCCAAGAAATCATCAGGCTCTTGGATTGACTTAGAATTCATTCATTCATTAAGTGCTTACCGAGTCCCCACTCTGTGGCAAGCACTGTTCTATATCAACTTCTCATGAGCTCAGCCAATTCTTGGTGCACCAGCCAAAGAAACTTCATGCCTGCCCCCTCTGAGCTCCATACTCTGAGGTGGTGGTCTAACCAAGATGGGATCGCCTTGTCCGGCCCTGTGTAGCCAAGTAGAAGGCCAAACAAGTTAACCAGCAGGACAGAAACTGCTCTAAACCCATTATTCCTTGGGTTGAATAGAACAGTGAGCTGAATGCCTGCTCTAATGAAGCCATTAAAGGGGTTTACAGTAAGGTTAGGAGCCCAGCTGGGTTTTCTGAGTCTACTGCTGGGAAACAGATTCTTCACTGCCTGTGGACCCTAGAGAAGCCATCGGATTGCATTAACATGGCTCCACTGATGATGGCCTGAGAATTACTACTTTTTGTGTTCCATCTGTTGTCCTTGCCAGGTCTTCCCTCACATCCTTACTTCACAGGATCAGGGGCTGAGAAGAGGCCAATACTCTGGCCCAGGCCTGGTCAAGGGATGCTGGTTGTTGCTGATGCAAAGGCACATTGCCTGGTCCTTAGCTTGGCAATCAGGCACCCAGAGATGACCAGACCAAATATCCCTTTGGCCAGGCACTCAGGTATTCCCTATAATGCTGTGCACTTAAAGCACCTTGGGCTGACAGTCTCTACCGAATCACAGAAGGAAGGACTCAATCTGCCGCATCACTTACCAGCTGGATAATCTATTTACTGTACATTTTTGCCCTCATATCAATACATTGGCACAGAACCATACACTGTAGAAGCTGCTGTGATCACCAAAGGCAGTGTCCGTTTAGCCCTGAGCACAGTGCTTGGCATGTGGTAGGTAAGTAGTAGCAATTTTATTTGATACCTCATATACATGCTGGTTCCTTCTGTCAGCACACCTGTTCACGCTTTGAGCTTGGTGCTTCACCTGGACTCCTCTGTTTACTGGCTCCACCACCCTTCCCTAGGATTACTTCTCCAATCCAAACAAAAACAATTTTGCAAATCTTTCATGTGACAAATTGTATATTTCATAAATGACCCCAGCAATATTTCCTCTCCCCTTAAGCCTAGGCAGGTTTGTGTCAGCTCTAACTGATGGAGTATAGTGGAGGTGCTGCTATGCGACATCCAAAGCAAAGGTATAAACAAGATGCAGCTTCTACATGGCTCTTGCACTCCTGAGATGCTCATCCTGGGAATCCAGACACCATGTTGTGAGGAGGCCCAGGCCACAAGGAGAGGCCACCTATAAGCATTCAGGCCACCAGCCCCAGGTGAGTTGCCAGTCAACAGCCAACATCAACAGCCAGATGTATGAGTGAGTAATCTCACATGGTCCCAGCCTTTGCATGACTTCAGCTGATGCCAAGTGAAACAGAGATCAGCTGCCCATTCCAGTCTCTGCCCACATTGCAGATTCATGAGAAAAACAAATGTCACTGTTTGGGGGTGAATCATGACACAGTTACAGTACTTGAAACATTTTTCAAAGCCAGGCATGAATTTCATATGAAATCACAATCCATTTTATTTGTGGCACCACAATATTATCATTAAGCTCTCTTTTTACACGGTCTACAATTTGTATCAACTACCCCAGTGTGACTCTGCCCTTACTTTAGGGACAACCCTTTTGCTGGGTGGTGTCCTAGAAGGTCTGGGCCTGGGCAGCAGCCACTGGGAAGCCCACCTGTGCTTTCCCCCATCTGGGTAGGGCGGCAGCAGAGACCCTGAGAATCAGCAGTTATAGGAGCTATGTGTTACTGGCTTTGGCTTCAGCATGTCCTGCCTAGGAGTCTGCAGCAGCTGTGGTTTCCTTGGGCTGGAGGCTTTTCCTCCTAATTACAATCGTGACAGGTCCATCAGGCAGGGCCTTGATGATGTTCCAGGCTTCAAACCGTGTGAGGCCCTGCATGGTAGTGCCAGCCAGCTGCAAGATTTCATCTCCAGGCTGGATTGTCTCACTTTGTTCTGAGGCTGCTCCTGAAAGGGAGAAGATAATGGGTTCCACAGATGATGGGGAACAAGAAAAGTTGCCTCCTCTCCTTGATCTCCAGGGAGCCAGGATAGCTTGGTAGAGAGTGGGGCATCATCCCGTGGGAGCTTGCTTGTTGGTGGTTCTAAAATGAGGCATCTCTTAAGATGGTGACTCAGAGGTTAGGGAACCAGGCTGCAGCTCTCCATGGCCCTTGGAAAGGGATAGCCCATGCTGTCTCCAGGGGAGGGAACCATCAGGCAGCTCCGCGCATTAGCCTGGCTGGAGCACCGTCCATAGTTCATAGAAGACTCTGGGGAACTGAGTCCTGCCTAGACCCTGCTTTGGACACTGACCCAATATCCTATTCCCTTCACATTTGTTCTCCGCATCTGATGAGGACATCAGCAATGGGTGGTATGGGAAGAGGGCTAGTGAGACTTTTGTGCAACAATCTTTACAGGGATCTTGCCTCTGAGTGGCATGAAGTCCTCTGTGTCTACATAAAAAAGGAAACAAACATATATGCCCCCCACTATTTCAAAGCTGCATGTGAAAACAATGCTATTTTACTTGTTTATATTAAAAGATAATTTCCCATCCATTTGACACAGTGGTCTTCACAAATCCTGAATAAGAGTAGAAGACAATACTAATCATAGTAATGAAAATATAGCTAAAGTGTATTGGGCATTTATTTTAAAAGGCATTGTGCTAATGTTTTGCATTTATAACAGTAATCCTATGAGGGATGTATTATTTGTGTTTCCTTTTAACAGTTGAGGAAACCAAGAACTCAAGTAACTGGCCCAGAGCTTCACAGCTGCTAGTGGTAGGCCCTGGGCTGGAACCCAGACTTTCTGGCTCCAGAATCTGCATCTCCCCTCCCACATCACGCTGCAGCTGGCAGTCTCATCCTCAACATTTAAGTAAATGGGTCCATGGTGGTGAAGTGACTTGTTCAAGGTCATGCTACTAAGGTCATGTGGCAGCACTAACACTAGAATCTAGTCCTCTTGACATTGAACCCAATGTTCCTTCTAAACTGACCTTCAAAAATCAGAAATATCTTTCCCAGAATTGGGGTTAACATGGATTCTGGGGGGAATGCCATGTAAGCCTCACTGTACCTTCTGGGTTTCTGCAGCTGCAGCAGAACTTCCTGTAATGAAACCAGTTGGCAACAGGAGCTTATGGTGGGTGAGGGACAGAGCTAAGAGTCCCTTTGGGTCTCAGTCCTAAGAGCCCTCAGATACGCACCTGTACCTCTTTACCTCCTTTTATGGATGAGGAGCCTCAGGCCCAGAAGGGAATGGTCACTCAGCATGTTACAGGCAGAGCTGGGACTAGAACCCGGCTCACCTGCCTCCCTCTCCAGCACTCCTCTCTCTACAACCCCTTGCTCTGTGGCTTGGAGACCTCCAATTTGAGGAACACCAAAGAATCAGGGGTGGTTTTACATGGTTGCCACAGTCATTCATGATTTTCACAGGGAAATCCAAGGGACCCCCATATCAGACTGATTTGTACTCCAATCCCTGATGAACCAAATAACAAAATTTTAAATAAAGGCAGGAGCTGATGTGTCGAGTTCTAGGGTAAGGCAAATGAGGCCAAGTGTGCAGTACAAAGTCAGACTGTCTTTATTTAAACTTCGATATTTTGTTCAACATGTTTTTCTAAAATTAACTTAAATAAAACACACTGCATTAAAATAGTATTGATCTGGGTTACTGCAGATTTTGGCACCCCTTTAAAATTTTGCACCATAGGCCAGTGCCCCACTGCCTCACTCTAGAGTCCTGGCCCTGCCAACCCAAACCAAGCCCAGGACTTAGGTGTTTATGAGGACCCATCAAAACACACCAGGGATTCAGGGGATGTCAGAGCAAAGGAGAAAAAGTGGAAAAAGCAGAATTCAGCCCTAAAAAGACCAGCATGCCTATGAAGAGGACATGGAGTTGTGGGAAACCAACATAGCCCAGAAAGTGCCCAGAAGCCTTTTGGGGGCCTGGCCACATGCCCACAACTGGAGAACCCACAAAGAACCAGACACACCCCACACCTTTGAAAATCCTGTTAATGGTGAGAGGCTTGTCTCCATGCAGGGAGCCCTTCCCTCCTTCCAGGCTGAAGCCCAGCCCTGCAGACATCTTCTCCAGTGTCACCGTGTAGACTGTAGCCTCTGCTGCTAAGAAAAACACAAGGTGTCTGTTAGGGATCCTCTCCTCTCCCAGGCCATAGATGCCCTGGGCATCAAGTGAGCCCGGGGTGATGCTGCCCCCATGTTTGCACACAGGCACATGTAGCACAGACATACATCTCAGACAGTGTACTAGGCAGGCCACACATTCTTGGGGTCACAAATTACTGAGTAGCCCCATCAGGTCTGGCCACACATGGCCAAAGAGGATGTGGCCCATGTGGGAGTTGGGAGAACTTACAGGATTCTACAGAAACATCACTGGCTGCAGAGGCTGAGGCTGCAGAGTCAGTGGTGGAGTTGAGGTCAGGCATGGACTCTGCAGTCAGCTTCCTTGTGACAATCACAGCTTGCCTGGGCTCTCGAGCTTGGCGGAGAATGGCCAGGGCATCATTGTGCGTGGTCCCCTTGAGAGACTTGCCGTTGATGGAAAGAACCTCATTGCCCTTCTGAATAGTCCCTTCCTGGGAGGCCAGCCCGTTTGGAAACACTTTGTGAACCTGAGCAAACCAAAGGAAGTCAGGACCAGAAATCACTCAAGTCAAGTCCACATACTTGCTGGAGGAGGATTGAACCAGTTAGTCAATGCTGGAGGATTTTTAGGCCAACAAAGATTAAAGATAATTGTGTCCTAGATTGGAGCTGCTGGCACAGAGGCCAGCATTCCCTCCTTCTCCATCCAGAGCAGAGATCACCAGCAATAATGACCAGGTAAGCCCTCAGAATCTATCCCAACACAACGTCCTAAACTGTATCAGCACAATTCTAGTTGGGAGTCCAACTAAAATCTTTTGCCTCACCTGCCGTAGGTCAGAATTCCCCAAAGTAGTTTTGTCAAAACACTGATTCGATGACATATTTATGGGTATTGTGTAAGAAAAGGGCTTTTCCTATAATTTTTTTAAAAATAGAGACAGGGTCTCCCAGTGTTGCCCAGGATGGTCTCAAACTCCTGGGCTCAAGCAGTTCTCTCACCTTGGCCCCCCACAGTGCTGGGATTACAGGTGTGAGCCACCCACCCGGCCAAGAAAATTTTTTTTTAAATCAAAGAAACTTGAGGAATACTGGGTTAAACAAAAGCTCTGAAAATGTCTACTTTTAAAAGGTAAAAGGCATTAGGGGGTCTACAGTGCAAATTTGCATGGCAGATTTCTAAGCAAAAGGCATTAGAGGGTCTACAATGCAAATTTGCATGGCAGATTTCTAAGTATTGGCAGGGTATTATGGGGACTCCCAAAATATTTCAAAAAAGAATTCTTTTCTCATAGAGAAATGGTCGGTCTCATTTGGCAGAATGCATTTTGAGAAACACTCTCATAGGCAGTCTAGACATTTTTATAGCTCCTCCCCTAGAAATTCTGACTCTTTACCTCCAATCACTTCTTGGTCCCCTTTCTGCAAGATATGTGGGATAAACAAACACAAAAAAATCTCATGTCTCTGCCTCAGCCTCTTTAATGAGGTCCATTAATAATTAAGAGGACTGAGTGATAGCAAGCATGGAAATCACTAAAATGTGGTACCTGTAGTTTTGCTTTTATGATGGGAGCAAAGCTCTTTGCTTCTCTAAATTGTTTTGGTGTTAGAAAAATTCTGTTACATCGTTAGAATCGCCAGGCTGTAAGATCCAAGCATGAAGCAGAACCTCCCCTCTGAACCTCAGGTTCCTCAATGCTAGAGGATTTTTAGGCCAACAAAGATTAAAGTTAATTAAAGGAGGAACCTCAGGTTCACTTGACCACTCACCGTAATCACCTTGTTTTCTAGATCTGCTCCTCCTGCCAAGCTGAACCCAAGACCAGCACCTTCCTCCTTGTGTAAGATGGTGACATGGATGCTGTCTAATTGCTGCAGGAGGAAATACATACATTCAAAAACAATTTTACTGCAAGAGGATAAACAGTTTAACATCAGACTGACATCAGACTGATTTGTTATCTCAAACCCCAGCTTGGCCAGCCTCCAAGTTACATCACCTCCTTAAACCTCAGTTTCCTCATCTGTAAAGAATGGACTCTTCAGGAGTCATGGGAAGCTTCGAAGAAAAAAAATGTATGTAAAGCAGCAAGCATAATTATTTTTCTCTCTCATTCACCCCATCCACACCCGGGCAGGGGGCGTTCCATGAATCAGTCAGAAATCATAGCATGTTGGACAGTGTGAGATGAAGTCAGGTTGTAGGACTTCAGGTAAAAAAAAACAAAACAGGGGTCAGTGCTCTTCTGCAGGAATTGGTTGCTCCTTCTTCCCTTCTACTTCTCCATGGGTCACAGCAGCAGCACTAAGGAAATCCAGCTAACATCTTGCCCCAATGCACAGTGTGCAAGTGTGACACACACACACTCACACTACTACAGTACTTCTTAGCCTAGACCAGGACTCACATGGAGCCAGGACATCGTCAGAGACTCCTATTCCAGTCTAGAGCAGGGGTCTCAAACTCAGATGCCTATAGGAATTAGGCAGGTCCCTAAAATGAGCAAAATGGGCAGATGTGAGTGACAGCAAAGAGCCAACGAGTACATCTGCTCAAAGGGTCAGCTCTACATAGGAATACAGACCTAGCGCTACCAGATCACTTCCCTAAAAAAAGTTCAGGTTTCAATTCAGGTTTTGTCATATATAGAATTCAGTATTTTTTTAATCACCATGCAGACCAAACAAAATACACCTACAGGCTCTTGGGCCACCTGTTTGTACCTTGGCACTAAGGAGTAAATTTATATCAAAGAATTCACTTGCTCAGGGCCACTAGAATTCACTTGCTAGGCCACTTGTAGCTGTCCCTATGATCCTAAGACTTGGAGCCCCTAAGACCCAAAAGCATGGAAGGATGAATGTATCTCACTGCACCCTCACCTCCAAGCCCCAACACTAGCCCAAATCTCTCAACTCTTACCCAAGTATCAGGTTACTTGCCTTGTGGAAGGCTCTTCTCAGGTTAGAAAGCAAATACTCTCTCCAGAGCAGCTCAGGCAGAACAGCTCTTCATGTTATTTCATTTGCACTGAGTAAGGTCCTGGGGGATGATGGTCCCAGGTGATGAGTGAAAGCCACAGAGAAAGAATCTCAGCATAGCAGCACCTTGTGCTTACCAGACTCACCCACATTATTGATGTGGAAATTGCAGCTATGAGGCCTCCTTGTATGGAAAACGAGAACCTCCTTATCCTCTCCTCCTAGTCTGGATCATTCTAGTGCCAAAAGCCTGCGTAGGCCTGGGGCAGCACCTAGAGGGTGCAGGACCTACGAGCCCGAGCTTATCTGACTGCTGGCCCCAGCTCAGCCTGGCCACTTCCTCCCCACACCCCTTTGGGTCATGCTCAGAAAACATATGGGAAGTGAGACTCTCAGAATGACTTGACTGAAGTATGGGGGCCTTGTGAGCCCTGGGATCAGCCACCTCTCCATGCACAGTGGAAATAATGAAAGCTCCAGGTGAGAGCTCTTGTGACCCACATTGTTTACAATGGACAGCATCCCACAACAGACACATGCCAGGACAGCAGTCCATGGTTTGTGGAAACAGCATTGAACTTGAACTTGGAGACAGAAAACCTAGGTTTTGTAACCTTGATTGAGCCTTACCTTTCTCATTTATAAAATGACAAAAGAAGATGCAAGAAGTCATTGAACCCTTCTTTTGAAAGCAGTTCACAAGCTAAAAGGCTCTCTTCAAATGGAAAGTCTTACTGTGGCCAAGTGCTACCATGTCCAACCATCACAGGACACAACCTGGGTCTGATGTCAGCAGGCTACTCAAGCTACTTCCCCTCTGGCCCAACTAAGGTGGCCACACAGCCATAATAAGCCATTGGTTACTGCAGATGCTTACAAAGGAAACCTACCTTTAATGTTGCTTCATCCAGAACCTTCACCTCCTCGATGAGTTGTTTTAATTCTTCTGAGCTCAGCAGGGAGATAACAGACTGACCAGACTGATGGGAACTGTGGTCCCCATCATCATCTTCCTTGGCTTCCGTGAGACCCTCTGTATATTCTCTCAGCTCTGAAAGGCTTTCATAGGGAGAAACAACACACAGTATGAACAATCCTATTAAAAAGAGATAACAGTAATTGTATAATTAGTCTATCCCAGGTGTGGTGCCAAGCATTTATGTGCATATTATTTGATGCAACAAATCTATGAGTAGATACTAGCATCCCTTCACTCTACAGATATTTCCCAGCAGCATAAGAACAATAAATAAAATTAATAAATGCAGAGCTACTTTGATCAGAGGGAAGACCAAGCCCCAGCCCTACAGCAGGAACCCCATGGCATGCCTGACATCCTCTTGGTTCTGCAAAGAAGGTCTCATTCATCTCCTAATTTGAGCTGATGAGGAATCTGAGGGTGAGCATGGAAAGAACCTGCTCGTAGTCAGATTCAGTGCCTGAGCTGAGACTAGGACCCAGACATCCTAACTCCCTGACCAGGGAGTTGAACCCACATGCAGAGTACAAGTGGATTCCATTTGGAGAGCAGTAAGAATTCCCAATGGATAATCTGGCCTCATTCTGGTCTTTCTGAGTAACCGCAGGACATTTCAGATGTGCATCAACCTTCCAAATCTCCACAGGTATGCATCAGCCCTCATGAGCAATGCACCAGGGAGCCAGTCCCACCTCCTACCTCCCAGCCTTCCTGAAGCCAGGTGTCGTGAAAACTCCTCCTTAATATGGAAGGTGGAGGTGTAATACCTACAGACAGACACACACACACACACACACACTCAGACATCTGTGCACACACACACGGAAAGAAAGAGGCAGAACAATTCTTTAATCAGTGTATCTGAGAATTTTTTAAATGATATATAGAATTATTTTTAAAAATAAAGATGAGAAAGAAAAAGATGAGAAAGATAGAGAGAAACACCAGGTGTAGAAACTCACTTGAGCGAGAACCCCGTGTCTGAGGCAGACGTTTCAGCAGAACCATTTGCAGCTGAGTCTTCATTGGATGATGATGTTGGAGATGCCCCTTCCTTGGGGATGCAGGGAGTCTGGGCACAGGAGAGAGAAGACGGAAGGCACAGCAAGGATTTCATGACAGCCGATGACACTTGGCTGCTGATAGAGTAGAGTTTGCTGGTCTTTTCATCAAGTAACTTCGTCTCACAGGACTGGGACCTGGTCAGGGGGAAGCTCCGTGCTCGCTGGCTTGGCATCTTGAGCACTGGACCTTGAGATTTCTCAGTCTGTGTTGGCAGCAGCCTTAGAAGCGGGTCCGAGCCAGTGGGGAGAGTTTTCTGATTGGGCTGCAGCCCTGGGGGAGGGGACTCAGACACACCTGGGTCTCTGGCCTCCGTGGCTGCAGGGGACCCCGAGGGCAGCACTTGCTCAGGCTGCTGGGGCACAAGAGTGGGTGCGGCCCCTCGCCCCAAGAGTCCAGAAAACCGTCCTCCCTCATGCTTCCCAAGAGGTTTTGCTGCCTCCCCAGAGGAGGGCTGGAGGCTCAGTCTCTGGGTTCCTTTGTCAGGCAGTTGAGAGGAGCCAAAGGTTTCAAAGGAGCTGATTCTCTGCTTGATGGAAGAGGAGGAGGAGGCCCGGATGTGTGGTCCCAGGTGCTCCCTGGAAGCAGGTGCTGGCTGGGTGGACAAGGCAGGATCAGGGAGCCCTCTTGGGTCTGAAGCATGATTCCTCAAACCTTTCAAGCTTTGGCGAAACCAGGCTGGCTTGGGAGCCACAGGAGGACCCTTCTTCACAGTGCTCCTGTCTGCTGACTTGTAAACTTTGGGAGTGCCATTGGCGGTGTCCAGCTTTGGTGGGTTCCCATCTGGGTGGCCCTGTGTCCCATCTTCTTCACTCAGGCTGGCATTGGGCTGTAGAGGCATGTGGCCAGGGTTCTCACTCATGATGGGGCTAAATAGGTTTTTGATGCAGTCGGAAATCCTAACCCAAGGGTCTTCGGCTGTGGTATCAAAGCTATAGTCCATCCGAGCCTGCCTCTTAAGCAGTGGGTGTTTTATCGGGGATGTTTGGGTCACTACAGTGCAGAAACAAGGCCAAAGCTGTGCATTACATCATACTGTGACTTTTCTTCCTAAATTCTAGTTTCCAAGCTGAACAGCAAGAAGTATTCAAGAGGAGGAGACTAGCAGAAGTGGGGGACACCGAGGTGGGTGAACTCCAGGTGCTATTACCTGACTGAGCTGCCAAAAGGCAGAAGTGAAGAACCAGAAGTAGGAGTTAATCTCACAGTATCGTAGTGTTTTAGGCCTAGAAGGGTGCTCAGAGAATATCTGGGCCGATCTCTGGCATTTTACATTTCAAGAAGGGTAAGGGGCCATCTGATGGCAGTGCTCGGGCAAGACCCCATGTCTCCTGACTTTTGAAGTTCATGTCCTTTCTACTGCACTAAGGAGCCTCCAAGATACTGTATTAAATGTGTAAAAGCCAAAGCAATTCTCTTGCCATTTAAACTTTTAAGACAAAGGTCATGAGTTGACAGCTGTTTGTGCTTTGGCCTACCCATGTCGTTAAAAAGCAAGGTGCCCGTGCACAACTTCCGATGGGGCCACTCCAGCTTCCCAGAGCTCTTCATGCTCCCTCTCACCCAGCCAACATTTCTCATGTATGTACCTGCCTGGCCCTGAAGCCGTGTGTTTGCTGCTCTCCCTCTACACAGGTCATTGATCAGCTTGCTCGGCAAAGGAGTGTTTTCCCTCCCTCAAAAGCTGATGAAAAGGTTCCAGGTAGAAAGAAATCTGTGAAGTAGGATTCTCAACCTTGGCTACACACTCTAATCTGGAGAGCTCTGAAAAATACTGACACCCACCCCTCGGTACTGATTGAAGATACCTGGGATGCAACCTGGGTGTTGGTAATGTGATCAGCAGGGGATTGCAATGCTCTGTGCCAGCCAGGACCTCAGGCATGCCCTGGAGCACATAGAAGTCTTTCTCAGAAGCCAGCATTGAACCAGCATCATATCTGCATGGGTAAGGGAGACTGTGCCCCGGCTCTCTTTCTGAGGGGCAGAGGAAGGCTGGGCCTGTGTGCTTTTTGGGGATGCTTGCTACTGGAATGCAACCCAGTTTAAGGAACTCTGATCCCTCCTGTCCCTTGTCTCAGTGCCAGGTTTCAAAAGAAGTGAATCATGGAGCATTACACCTTGATGATATCAAAGAGAAATTCTGCACAATCTAAGAGACTGGCCTTTGGCAAGTGAGCCCAGGCCTCCAGCCTGTTTCTGCATTTTTGAATGGCTTGGCTGTAAGGGGCTGTTGAGAGAATCAGGAGGCACAGGTTCCACAGGCAAGCCCTTTGCAGACTGGAGTGACAACCTCCCATTAGTTAAACACTGAGGCGTTTGCTTTCGCTAGTATGTTCCTCAATTAGGGTGACTAAGGGAGAGGAGCCTCCACCCACAGGTCCTCTGCTGTGGGTGAGATGTGCTAGATCTTTCCAAAATGTCCCTTAGCCCTCCAAAAGTCTTTCATGAACTTTTGCTGTAGTGTTTCTCAAACAGTCATGGTTTATAGCCTATATGTTTATTTCCTGCCACTACTAGTTGTTCCTTGGAGGCAGGACCTGACTACCTGGTCTCATCCCTTTCTCTCTCTCCCCAGCATCTAGCACGGGGCCTCACGAAGCCAGCATTCAGTGTGCGCTTGCTGAATGCATCCCATGTGAATCTGGGCTCAGAAAGGCAAAGTAGGTTGCTCAGAATCATGCTAATGACAGACAGATCCAGGACTCCCTGACTTCAAGTCCTATGCTCTCTCTAGCAAGCAAATACATATTTGAGTCATGTCTTAGCATTGTCAGGTGTACCATGTGGACACACCCTTGCTATCCACTTCATGGAGGAGGTGACCACTGGTAAATGCTATTTATACTTTTCTGGTATTGCATTCTCTGACTCAGAAATCCTGAATGCAGCAGGGCTGTTGCATCTGGAATGTTGGCATCCTAGAAGCAGCTGCCCAGGATGGCTGGGTGGGTGTGTCTTTGGACCTCTTCCAAGGGCTCCATCCTCCCGATTATCCAGAATGGCCTGCATTCCTGCTGCCACCCCCACAGCATCACCCGTCCACCCAGGAGGCTCCCCACCCTGGACAGCACCTCCATGGTGCTGCTGCCCAGCACCCAGGACCCTTGACTATTGATCAGCTGGGTCCAGTGGTGGTATCAATGCAGAGCACTCTGATCCTCAGGCCAGTTTGTGCTCTTATCTTATCCCTGTACCCTTTTTCAAAAGACCCTTTTGGAAGATCTCAATGAAAGCTTACCTGGGCTGGCTCTTCTCCGCCCTGGCTCACCCTCTGTGGAGGACTTGGTCTGTGGGCAGATACCAGGTCCTGGGCAACTGGCAGAGGCACTAGGGCTTCTCCCTGCTGTGTCTTCCTGTGGTAGCAGCAGTGGCAGCAGCTCTCTGGCTTCCTGTGGTGTAAACAGGAAGCGAGACCGTGTCAAAACGGTAGCCTCAAGCTGTGAGAAGGCGAGACACACTTTGATTGAGATGGAAAAACGGATATTGAGCTGCTTTCAATGAGAAGTTCATCAGCAGCCATGTAAAGAGGGTTTTTTTTTTTTCTCCTTGGTGCTGACATGGCAGAGACAGCACCTCCTAGACATGAAGAGCATCCCTTGACTTCCAGCAACCTGGTGTCCAGGTCATGGGCTCATACTGTTGACATACGTGAAGATCCTGGCTCTTTATGATAGGAACAAAAGGCTTTGAGTGTAGAGGGACCAGCATTGCTTCAGTTACAACTGCATCCTGGTGAACTACCCACCCCAGGAGGGTACAGGGCAGTGTAGAAACAAGGCAGCAAAAAACCTGGCAGCTAGTGTTCCCTAAGGTTAGAGCACTCAGAAAAATACTTGTCAATTGCTGTCACTTGTTAAGCACTCTTCAAATATTTAGTAAGTGTTCTGCAAAAGATGACAGATACTCAGCACCTGTGCCATTGCTCCCCTCTGTGGCACCTAGGGTGACACATCATCAAACTGTTGCAGAATTGTTTCCACCACTGAGCATGGATGCAGCCTTGGGGTCCTTCCAGAAACAGTCTAGGGACAAGATGGACTAGGCTCTGAATAGCTATGCAATACTTGAAGAATCTGGATTATCATACAGTGTACTTAAGGTGCTGTCAGGGCCCAGAGGAAACAGAGAGACCAGTTCCATCCCAGAGGTGAAGAAGGCTTCCTAGAGAAGTGCTTTCTGTCTGCTTCATAAACAGAGTAAGAATTTTCCAGGCAGAGAGGCAGAAGAAGAGGGCTCCAGAGACATAGCCCAACCAAATGTAATACCCATCTGGAAAAAAAGATTGAGAAGGCAGACATCATCAAAATGATGCCATCTGTATTTGATCGTCTGCAAGAGAAATGCTGTGTTATACTGCAGTGGTCTCCACGTCCGGTTCATTCCAGATTTGTGTAATGATGGGCCATTTGACATGGCTGCAGGCTTCCTTCCAGAGAGGAAGGAAGGAGGAAGGAACAAATGCATCCTTTGGGACTAAAAAAGAAATGGCAAATATCCATGGCCTGAAATTTAAGATCTACATTGACAATAAACATTTTGGGGGAAGGAAAGGTCTACAAAAGTTAGAAATGTATTCACAGAGCATTGCCTCAGCTCAAGTTCCCTACTGTAGAACTGAGCTGTAGGAAAGCATTATGAAATATTGAGAGGTCAACTAATTTCAAAGGAATCATTGGGCTTCTCAAACTAGCCCTTAAAAAAGTAAGGCTGAGTCATGGCATTAGAAGCTTAAAATACTGGTCTGATGATCTCTAAGACTCTTGTCCACAAGAGAAATGACATGTGGATGAAATTTAATTTCACCCGATTGTGAGCTGTGTAAGTTGACATCTGCTGACATTCATGAATTGTTAGTGCTTTTACAGGCAGCCACATGTGATACCAACTGCAGTCAACGCAGCTTTACATCTTGGAACAGACACAAACGTGTTTTGTCTTTTCATCAACACATCCAATATTGCATCCTCTTCATGGGAGACTTCAAAATTAGCCCCTGAAATAAATTTGATTTTACACAAATTTTTCTCTTACTAGTGTTTCCTGGAACTGTGCTTGGTGGATGAGGGAGGGAGAAGAGAAAGAAGGAAAGAGGGAGAGAGTTGATTCAGCATAGAAGGGAGAAAGTATGTTTTTGTTTGGTTTTTTGTTTGTTTTCTGAGAAAGGATTCTTAGAAAATCTGGTTGTGTGTTGGAAGTTTTTTTAAGCACAGGTGAGAGTTTAAGCTGATTTTCTATAAGAGAGATGTCAGTTTTTTGTTGAAGAAAATATCCCAAAGTTCATATTGCTTGTGAGAGTTAAGTCCCCTTGAATTAGAGTAGATGAGAAAGATTTGGGGGTCATTCACAGCAGCTTGACAACAGTCTTGGGACCCTGTAGAGACAAGACTGCAGGGAGGGAAGGTGGGGGGCGGTGAGACAGTGGACACTGTGGCCACGGAAGAAAACATCCAGTGAGAAATCCCCAGGAACGGTCAAGGGAAGTTTGAGAGTGACCTCAAGCAAATTGCTTCCTGTTTTCTATTGCGTGCCATGATCCTTTCTCTGTGACCCCTGAGTGCCCAATAAAAGTATGTCAGGCTGATTGTGTTTATGGAAATGTTTGTGGGAGAAGGATCTGCTGGCCACGTGGGACAGAGCAGAGCAGACAGAGGAGGGCAGCTGCAGAACGGCCTTTGTCTCCAGGAGACTGTGCTGTTGGGGGTGGGTACAGGAGGGAGCCCTGTATTCTGCCCAGGCACACAGAGCATGAAAGATGACCTGTGGGGAAGTTCCCTGCCTGGGCTTCCTTGAGGACACCCCAGTTCCTTCTCCAGCACCTTACTTGGGAATATTTCCGTACCCTATGTGGCTCTGCCGAGGGCATCACTGGGACAGACCTGCTGTGGCAACTGCACTCCTCCTTTTCTGGGCCTCCAGGAGGAAGGCAAAATGACTGACTTCTCAACTGGTTGCTCCTGATTTGCCCTTCTGGACTCGTAGGTCTCAGGCCCAAGGGAAAATGAAATATGGGCTTAAAAGAGAGGGGTGGGAGAACAGATCCATCTGAGAACTCCATCATGTGTTGCTAACCAGCCACATCCTGCCAGCACTCTGCAAAACTGCACTTCCTTTTTAGTAACCTGGCTTCCTCCTCCCTCCTTCACTTTCACCCCTCCTACTCAATATCCAGACTCCACCGCTACCCCTCCTGAAGCTTGCCAACCCTCACTGTAGATTGTTTTAGAGGATTTCCAGAGGCCCCTTCCCACCTCCCTACATTGTGCTTATGGGAAGGGCCAGGGCCCCTGCAGGGCCATTATGCCATGGGGGAGGCAGCTTCTGGGTAAGGATGGAAAACTCAGCATGGTATAGTGGGTAACCGTGACCCACTAGTGACGTGAACTTGAGAGAGTTTCTCAGTTCCCTCTTTGCACAATTGGGACTCTCACCATCAGGTCGTGGTAAGATTTAATTGACACAATGTACATGAAAGTACTCAGTGTAATTAGCCTGTGCATAAAAATGGCTCAAGACATAGCAGCTGCCTGTCAGTCAGCCTGCCTTTTATGCAAGGGGCGGGAAGGAGGGCTTTAAGGGGCCTGATGGGGAAAGATCATGGCAATGAATGCTAATATGCCTGAGATGCTGTCAGGTACTTGCCTTAAGTGGTTACCTTTAATCCTCACAGTAGCCCTTGGAAGGAGCCACTACATGCAGCCCCAATTAACGGATTGGTGGGGTCTCCCCAAGGATCCATGCCTACGGAAGTGAGGAGGCAAAGATAACTGGGGAAGAAATAGGAGCCAGTTTCTCAAAATCATATCAGTCTACTCACTCAAGAAGCAGGGTAAGCAACTCTTGTCCCTTTTTAGTTGTTTTTCGTTTGTTTTGTTTTGTTGTTGTTGTTCTGTTTTGCTTTTGTTTTGTTTTGTTTTGTTTTTTGAGATGGAGTCTTGCTCTGTCGCCCAGACTGGAGCGCAGTGGCGCAATCTTGGCTCACTGTAACCTCCGCCTCCTGGGTTTAAGCAATTCCCTGCCTCAGCCTCCCGAGTAGCTGGGATTATAGGCACCCACTACCATGCCCGGCTAATTTTTGTATTGTTAGTAGAGACAGGATTTCACCATCTCGGCCAGGCTGGTTTTGAACTCCTGAGCTCATGATCCACCCAGCTCAGCCACCCAAAGTGCTGGGATTACAGGCATGAGCCACTGCGCCAGGCCCCTTTTTAGTTATTTAAGCCACTATTCTCCCTACAAGCAGGACACTCAAAGATCCACAGGCAAAGACTGTGGCCCTGCAGAGGCCCTGGTGTTTTTCCTTCATGGTGAGTGAAAAATGACAGAGGAAAGGAACCTTAAATTCCAGTGTGTTATGGGTGGGAACCCCGATGCCAGCAAGCAGGACTGGGACTTCAATTATCTGTCAACCTTCAAACCCATCTTTCCATGGTCAGTCCTCAGCTGAGTCCTAAGCAACAGCTTCTTTCTGGTGGAGCAAGAGAAACTTTCATTCTGGCTCTGCTAACATTAACTTTCTAACTTGCCCATGCTCAAGATTTGAGTCTGGTCTTGGAAACAGTCAACCTGTGGACCCATCCTCTTACCTGGCCACAGGTGGGTGGGGTGTGCCCAGAAGAGCATGAGGATTTCTCTCTCTCTTCCAGACTCTTCTGAGGGTCACTGTCACTTTTAAAGTATTTTCTGGGTGGAGGCTTGGGCTTGGAGGATGTAGGCTTTCTCACCAATATCTCAAAGGGTTTCTTCAGTCTCAGTGGTGGGTGGCTGTCCTGGCTCTCTGGGACAGGCGGGCTCTCCTGGGGCAGCCTGGAGGATGCTATAGAAAGCACCACTGGCTCCCTTGCCAGGGGCAGGCTGGGGCTGTGTGTGCTGATGTCCACGTCAGAGGATGGCTTCCCAGCGCTGCCACTCCCAGGACTTCCTCCTGGGGACCCAGACATGTAGCTGCTGTCACTGCTGGAGCGGATCATGATCTTCTGAGCCCTGCGATGCGGGGGTGCTGAGTTCTTCTCTCGTTCCTTCTCCAAGGTGGGCCGCCCGTGCCAACTGCTTTCCAGCCTTTTGACACCTGTGTGGGAAGCACAAGGGAATCTTCATAGCTGAGCTTCAGAAAACAAAAACACCCCCTGGCCTCGCCTGCAACTGCTGCGGGCAGCACACTGCACACCAGCCATCTGCTTCTGATCTGCGCCACTCTGGATCTGGAGTGTGGCAGTCTTGGTGTTGGTCCCTGGCGAGCTGTATGACTTTGGGTTGGGAAAATCGTTCAAGCTTTCTGAGCCTGTGAGTGATGGATATGGAGATATGCCACCCAGATCACCCACTGAGGAAGGGCTTGATGTTCCAGCTGTGGGGAGTGCTGCTGGCAGACTACTTTCAACTGTGGGTCCCTCCAGGGGCTGCCATAGCTGCAGACAGCTGCCTTGTCCAAGGGGGCAGCCCATCTCCAGGGACTGCTGGAGCTGGGTTACAGGGTCCAGCTATGCTGGTAAACTCAGGACAACTCTAATGTGGACTTTAGTTGCAGAGTTCCAGGGCTTGGCTGAAGCTGCTGGGTGTACATCTCAGCTCCATCCTCCCTCTGTCTACCCTGCCTGCTCCCCTCCCTGCCACAGGTAGTGATCCCCAGGACACTTCCTAATAAACACGCTGCAGAGCAAACTCCATCTTAGAGTCGGCTTCCTGGGGGACCCAACTCCATTTCTGCATCTGTAAAATGAGGATGATAATTTTAAAGTCACTGGGGTTATTTTGAGGCTCAATAACAAAGACAGAGAAACTACCTGTCAAGGCACTTTGAATCTGACACGAAGAAGTCACCATTTCTTTCCAGTTGAGGGTGAGGTGAGGGCAGAAAGCCACTATTTCTTAGCCATTGCACCTTCCTCCCTCCCTCCCCATTAGCCCTTCTTCCTGGTTCTCAGTACCCCCTACCCTGGTTTCCAGCACTAGGGCTACCCACATATCCTTGAGAGGCCCTTCTCTCTAGTGGTAAGCTGTCAAGGGTGCCCCTTTCCTAAAATCACAGCTTGAGGGGGTGGGAGAGGATTGAAATCTAGTCCCTTGCTCAAATTCCAGCTTATTCTGAGAGACTAGGAAAGCCAGAGGAGCCCCATGAGAAAGAACCAAGGCCAGTCAAGCTCCTAACTCACTTTCTCTTTAAATAAAAAGTTTTCTTTTGTTTTTTTTTTTCCTGATCATGAAATAATGCATCCTCCTTGGAGAAAACTCAGGCACAAGGAAGAAGGAATGAAAGTAAAAATTCACTTCACCTGTGTTCCTATCAGCCAGAAATAACTACTGTCAAAATTTTGGTGAGTTTCTCTGTCATGCTTTCCTGAGCATATATGCATGTTGGGTGGGTAGAAATAATAGACCAGAGCTGAAATTAAATGTTGTGTTCTGCTCTTTTCTCTGAACATTTTCCCAGATCATTTAATTTCTTATCAATATCAGTGCCAATGGTTGCATGTTGTTCTGTCACAAGGATGTTCCATGGTAGACGTGATTAATGCCCAATGGCTAAGCATGGGAGTCAAGCCAGCTGGATTTCCATTCCAAAGCCTCTGCGCTCTAGTGGTATGACTTTGAGTAAGAGAGTCTCTGAGGACCTCCCTTTTTCTTATAAAATGTGCATAAAAATTATGTGTGAATGCATGAATTAGTACAGTCTCTGACATTACAAATATTCAATAAATGTCAGAATTATATTCCCAAATGTTAATTTTTCCAATATTCTATTATTATAGACTAGGGGCTGCAAACTCAAATGTCTATGAGGCTATTGTGTGAATGGCAACTTGGTACAGGATAAAGGGAATGGTGGGGACCATAGGGAAGCTGGAGAGAGCCTGGCACATTTGTAGCGATTTAAATTCAGATGCTTTTAAAATCTTGTGTCTTCCAAACAAAGCAAAAATATAAGCTAAATTTAGCTGGTGGCTGCTAGTTTTCAGCCTCTGTCTACATACTATACTGGTCTATGGTAACTGCTGTTACTATTCCTTGGATAGAGGATGAGTTAATGGATAAATCCTAAGCTTTCTAAGAAGGCAAAGATATTTTACATCAAAGTTCACCATTTGTCTTACCTTCCAGACTCCACTGATGCCTCTCCTTTCCAAACTTGGTGTTTTCCACAGCCTGGGCCACAGCTTCTTTGAGCTGCTGTTCAGAGACCTAGAAAATATCAATCATCTCCTCAAACAAACGGTGGAAGCTCCTGCATCAGGCTTCCAGCCCTGGACCAGCTCCCAAGCTGGGCCACTGGATTCTGGATTTTTGTCTTTCAACTTACCCTGCAAATAGCTGACAAATTCCATTTCCAGAAATACCCTGGGAATCAATGGTTCCTCAGTATCTTCTAGATAAAGTCCAAAGTCTATCAATGCAGGGGTTCCCAAGGAGGCCCCCTCAACTCTCCACCCTTCTCCCCACTACTTGCTGGAAAATTCTAGGCAAAGTTACCACTTCATGGGTTATCTCTGTGAGCTAGTCCAGTCTTGGCAATGCTGTCATGACATCATCATTATCAACAATGTCATAATCATCACAATCACTGTTATACTGTCTGAGCTGTGACTCACAGTTTATTATCACTTTGGAGTAATAGTCAAGAGTATGAGTCTTAGAGTCAAAAAGGCTTATGTTCTAGTCCCAGTTCCTCTGCTGTCTAGGTGTGAACACCTAGACAAGTTACTTAACCTCCTAATCCTCCATTTCTTCCTTCTGTAAAATAATAACAGTAATAAAACTCACTTCAAAATGAGGACAGGTTTTTAAAAAATAAATAATTTGACATCGAAAGTACAGGAAACAAAAGAGTAGATACATTGGACTACGTAAAAATCAAAAACTTCTGTGCATCAAAAGGACATAACCAACAGATTGAAAAGGCAACTTATAGAATTGGAGAAAATATTTGCAAATCATATTTCAGATAAATGGTTGAGTTGCAGAATATATAAAGAACTCCTACAACTCCTACAACTCAGCAGCAACAACAACAACAAAGCAACCTGATTAAAAACTGGGCACAGAACCTGAATAGATATTTCTTCAAAGAAGATATACAAACAGCCAAAAAGCAAGTGAAAAAATGCTCAACATCACTAATGATCAGTGATGCAAATCACAACCACACACATTAGGACATTAGGATGGCTACTGTCAACAAAAAGAAAAGAGGCTGGGCATGGTAGCTCATGCTTCTAATCCCAGCACTTTGGGAGGCTGAGGCAGGCAGATCACTTGAGGTCAGGAGTTCGAGACCAGGCTGACCAACATGGTAGAAACCCCATCTCTACTGAAAATACAAAAATTAGCCAGTGTGTTAGTGCACACCTGCAATCCCAGCTACTAAGGAAGCTGAGGCAGGAGAATCACTTGAACTCAGTGCAGTGAGCCAAGATCGTGCCACTGCACTCAAGCCTGGGTGACAGAGTGAGACTCCTTCTCAAAAAAGAAATGAAAAGAACAAAGTATTGGCAAGGATATGGAGTAATCGGGACCCTGGGACTCTGCTGATAAGAATGTAAAATGGTGTAGTCACTGTGGAAAATAGTTTGAAGGCTCCTCAAAAACTTAAAAATAGAATGACCATATGACCCAGCAATTCCACTTCTGGGTATATACCCCAAAAGAAGGGAAGTCAACATCTCAGAGGAATCTGTACTCCATGTTCATTGTAGCATTATTCACAACAGTCAAAAGGTGGAAACAATGCAAGTACCCACAAACAGATGATAAACAGCATGTGATACACACACATACGCACGCACACACATATACACACTAGAAGATTATTCAACCGTAAAAAGGAAGGAAATTCTGGCACATGCTACAACATAAATGAACCTTGAGGACATTATGCAAAGTCAAATAAGCCAGACACAAAAGGACCAATTTTATATGATTCCACCTTGATGAACATAGAGTAGTCAAAATCACAAAGACAGAAAGTAAAATGGTGGTTCCCAGGACTTGCGGGTGGGAGAACGGAGGGACTTGTTTAATGGGTAGAGTTTAAATTCTGAAAGATGGAAAGAGTTCTGGAGACGGATGGTGGCTATGGTTGTACAACAATGAGAATGTCCTTAATGTCACTGAACTGTACACTTAAAAAATTGTTAAGATGGCCGGGCGCAGTGGCTCAAGCCTGTAATCCCAGCACTTTGGGAGGCCGAGACGGGCGGATCACGAGGTCAGGAGATCGAGACCATCCTGGCTAACACGGTGAAACCCCGTCTCTACTAAAAAATACAAAAAACTAGCCGGGCGAGGTGGCGGGCGCCTGTAGTCCCAGCTACTCGGGAGGCTGAGGCAGGAGAATGGCGTAAACCCGGGAGGCGGAGCTTGCAGTGAGCTGAGATCCAGCCACTGCACTCCAGCCTGAGCGACAGAGCGAGACTCCGTCTCAAACAAAAACAAACAAACAAACAAAAAATTAAGATGGTAAATTTTATGTTATGTGTATTTTACCACAATAAACAACAACAAATAAATCATTTAAAGTCTTAGGCACAATGCCTGGCAGATGGTAAACTCTTAATAGAGGAAAGTTACCAACCACAACAGTCCTGTAAGATAAAGACCACTCCCCTTTGTCAGAGTTGAGGAACCAGAGGCTCTTGGAGATTAGATGAGTTGCCCAAGGTCACCATAAGCAAGCAGCAGACTGGACACATACTAGGCATTCTACTGCTGGGCCTGGCTCTCTTCTCTCTGCCCTATGCCTGTGCCCCTGGATCTCCCCTGCCTGTGGTGCCTTTGCCTTTCTGCTGCTCTAAACCTTACCTGTCCTTTCTGACCTGGCTCCCTTATGTGAGCAGCTGGAACTCCAGCTCCCTCACTCTCAAGGCCCTCACCTCTGTGGCCTCTCTGTGTGTGTCCCATCTCTCTGGGAGAATACACATTCCTTAAGCCCAGGGCCACAGCATTTGCCCACAACCTGACCCCTACTCTACTGATTTTCTGCCATAGTCCTAAAAGCAGCAAGAGGAAATGATAAATTAATTGGGACCTCTTTCTTTTCTTGTAGTGTCCAGAGATTTAGGCCAATTATTTGTTTGCCTTAGTTAAGAAGTTTGCTTGTCTCTGGTGTGTTTAGCCCCAGTGTGCAATCCATAGAATGGGGCTGAGTTTGAATTCCACCACACCATTATATATTGATTTTCCTCATTACTCCACTCTGTCCAAGTGCCACTGGAGTTTGGGAGTCAGTGAGTTCAAAGCACAGGCTTTGCTGGATTTAAACCTTAGCTTCTTTACTTAGTAGTTTTACCATTGGGAAACTATTTGTCCTTTCTAAGCCTCAGTTTCCTCATCTGTGATTTGCGGGGGAGAAATATCACACTGATTTCAGGGGACTGCACAACTAAATGCAGTTGTGTGGGTCACATCTTTGGAAAACATGCCTGGCACACACAAGGATTAAATAATTAGTGGTGGTGATTATTCCAGGTTCCCCAGAGCTCTCACCAGCAGCAGGGATTCAACCCCCAAGTCTAGCTCCAGCCTGGGTCCCTCTTATAGTTGTTATCAGCCCTAAGTCTAACCTGCCTGCTGGGGATCTTTACCTGAACACTCCATGGTACCTCCACCTCACTATGTCCTACACTAAGGTCATGCTCTTCTCTCCCTCCCAAACCTGCTACCTTCTCCTCTTCTCTCTTCTGCTCAGTCTTCCAATCTAAAAATGAAGACCACTGCTCAGTCTTCCAATCTAAAAATACTCGAGATATCCTTGGTTCCTCCCTCTCTTACCCCAGAGCCACTTGCCCAGCAGCTCTTGTTGAGTCTTCCCAAGCATTGCCTAATGTTGCCTAACACGATTTTTCTGTGTCCCCACCCAAATCTCATCTTGAGTTGTAGCTCCCATAATTCCCACATGTTGTGGGAGGGACCTGGTGGGAGATCATTGAGTCATAGGGGCAGCTCCCCCCATTCTGTTCTCATGACAGTGAACAAGTCTCACAGGAGCTGATGATTTTATAAGGAGTTTCCCCTTTCACTTGGCTCTCATTCTCTCTTGCCTGCCACCATGTAAGACATGCCTTTCACCTTCTGCTGTGATTGTGAGACCTCCCCAGCCACATGGAACTGTGTGTCCATTAAACCTCTTTTCCTTTATAAACTACCCAGTCTCAGGTATGTCTCTATCGACAGTGTGAGAACAGACTAATACATTGCCCCTTCATTTTTCTCTTCCTATGACTGCTGTGTAGTTCAGTCTCTCACCATCTGCTTCCTTCCTCTTACAAACCCCACACTCCACCCACTCTATCCTGTCTTCTACAGTGCAATCAAAGGTTAAAAAATTAAAATATGAACACGCTCCATCTACAGCTACAGACCTCCCATAGCTCCTCACTATGCAGAATAAAATGGAAACTCTTTAGTAACCTGTTGAAAGCCCTCTGCAGTGTAACCCCAATGCCCTGCCAACCTCTGTTCTCAGTCACGCCTACCTAGTACCCTACATTCCAGCCCCACAGAACGCACTCCTCTCCTTCATGTCAGGCCCCTTCATGACTCTAACATTAAACTTTGTGTTCCCACTGCCTGGAATGATCTTCCTTATATTCTCTGCCTGGAGAAAACTAACCTCTGGTATTTTTTTACTTTATCAACCATTCCCTGCTATATTCCTGTATTCGCATAGGACTTACCATCTCTGTTTTGCAATTATGTCTATATCAGGCTCTTTATTGATATTATGAGCTTCTGCAGGGCAGGACTACATGCTATGAACTTGTCTCTGTATCTTCAGTACCTATCTCCAGACATTCCCACAGTGGGTACCTACTAGATGCATAAATGAATAAATCTCTTGCATCTACTAGCTGGGACCCTGGGTCTCTATTTTCCTGCCCCAGAGCTTATAACTCAGCTGTAAGAGCTTCCCTAAGTTAATGTCAATTGCCTCTGACATCTAGGAGTTCTTTAGTGGACCTCTGCTGCAGACAAATCTTACTACAGAAACTTGGAAGGGATTCTTGGGAATTCAGGTACAAACCCAGCCAGCAACATCTCTGTTTTCATCTATTTCTTGTTGCAATTTTGGTGCTGAATGAGTAAGCCTGAGAAGAAGAGGATAACCCAGGGGGTGTTACCTGTGGGTCTGGATGTCGGCTAACAATGATGGGGACTGGACCAGGATCACAGTGACTCAGGATCGTGTAGACTTCATTGAGCGTCAGGCAGTGCACAGGGGAATCACTGATTTCCACAATCTCATCCCCACACCTGTGCAAGCATCAACAAGAAGCCATCAGTAAGTGAATCAATGAGACATTTGAACACTGCCCCAGGGGCCCACTCCTGACTGGGCTGTTTGATGAGATCTAAAAATCACATGAATAAGTAGACCCTGCTAGCCACCAGACCAAAACTCAGAACAGGGCACACCAAAGTAGCATATCCCACACCCCCTTACTGCACAACCACAAAGCAGCAGACGTTTCATATTTATGGTGGGTCAATATTAACAAAAGTTCATCTGCAACTTTCCTCCTTCTTTTCACATTTAACTATGCCCATTAAAGACTGAGGGTATGGTTTAGCCAATTCAACTAAATAACCAATTCACCAGGATTTAATCCACCACATCCTCTCCTTGGGCCTCAGTGTTCCCATAAGTAGACTAGTTAGGAGGAAGGATTGGATCTAACATAGCACACACAGGATGTTGAATGTCGGACCTAACATCCCATATGTGCTAAAAGGTAGAGAAAAAATAACTCAGCAGGACAGCAGTTGAGATTCTTGCAAAAAGAAATAAGGAGAAAAGGTGATGGCATTCATTCTAGTTGTGAGGTGGGAAGGGAGTTAATAGCAACCTAAACCTTAAAAAAAAAGGTAGGAAAGATGGAGTCACGTAGATACATGGAGGATTTGTATAATCCAGTCCCCTTCCTGATCTAGATAGGGAAATTGAGCTGCAGAGGTTGAATAGATTTCCCTGATCGAGGTCTGCTCAGGAATTAACAAACTTTTTCTGCAAAGGGCCAGAGATTTTTGATGTTGCATGCTTTGCTGTACTGTCTGTAATGAAACTACTCAACTCTGCTGTTATATTAATAGCATGACAGCTGTGGCCATAGACGAGGCATAAACAAATGAGCATGGCTTTGTTCCAATACAATTTTATTAAAACAACAACAACCAAAACCAAAAGCAAAACAAAAAACAAAAAAAACCCAAAACAATGATGGGCCCCAGTTTGCAGACCCCTGGCCTAGCTGTTCATCAGCAGGTACAGGATTGGAAATCCAACCTCCTGAGCCTGATTTCCGTGTGCCCCCTGCTGTGTTCTGTGACTTCGTTCTGCTGAGTTCATCGTCCTTCACCCTTGCTGGGAGAGTATTCCTTTTTACTGCTGTAACTGAAGACCATGATCATATAGCACCAGATGCTAAGGAAAGCAGAAGCTTCCAGAACAATCCCTATCCCACTGCAGATCTGAGAAGGAGGTACTGTCTGTCTGAGGGTACTAGGACCAAGACAACCACATGGAGCCTGCAGTTATGTCCTACGAACCAGCAGAGCAGCTCAGCTAATCACCTGCCACCCTCCTGCAGATAACAGCAAATCCTTTTCTAATTCAGAAGCTCCATCAAGACAGCATCGTAAGCAGGGATGGCCTTTCCATACACTGCAATTGTAGGAAACCCTTTAAAGGGATAGCAAAACTCTCCTGATTAGGAAAACCCAAAACCAGTGAGAGAAGATTTGCACTATACATGAATGTTAGAGTGCAAAGTATTGTAACAAATTAAATAGGATATATTTTTAAATCAAGTTCAGATCAGTTATTGAAAAAAAATTTAGATTTGAACTTCTCTTAGAAATTATTTATAAAAAATATATCTGGAGTACCCAAAAATATTTTGTTTATGCCAGAAAGAACCTGTATTTCTACTACTCATGTTTTCTCTCTCCCCCTTTTTTTTTTTTGTGACAAGGTCTCGCTCTGTTGCCCAGGCTGGAGTGCAATGGCACGATCTTGGCTTACTGCAACCTTAGCCTCCCTGGCTCAAGTGAGCCTCCTGCCTCAGCCTCCCAAGTAGCTGGGATTATAGGAATGTGCCACCACACTCAGTAATTTTTGTATGTTTAGTAGAGATGCTTTTTGCCATGTTGCCCAGGTTGGTCTTGAACTCCTGAGCTCAGGCCATTCACTTGCCTCGGCCTCCCAAAGTGCTGGGATTATAGGTGTGAGCCATGGTGCCCAGCTTACTAATATTTTTGTCATTAAGCTACCATTTCTATATAGAATTCATAGATTCACCTCATCAAAGCTCCTATTTATGTCATTGTAAATTCGATATTAGTTAAATCTGAATTAAATGTGTTTTCTATGTTGGACTGGCGTTCTCTGAGACGATGTTTTTTTTTTTTTTTTTTTTTTGAGACAGAGTCTCGCTCTGTCGCCCAGGCTGGAGTGCAGTGGCCGGAATCTCAGCTCACTGCAAGCTCCGCCCCCTGGGTTCACGCCATTCTCCTGCTTCAGCCTCCCGAGTAGCTGGGACTACAGGCACCCGCCACATCGCCCGGCTAGTTTTTTTTTTTTTTGTATTTTTAACATGCATACACATTCATGGGGATTTTGTTAGAATGCAGGTCCTGGTTCAGCAGGTCCAGGTGGGGCATCTGAGATCCCACATTTCTAATAAGTTCCCAGTTGATGCTGATTATGCTGGTCCAGACCACACTTTGAGGAACATGGCTCTGAGCTATGCCCAGATCATTCTGTTTTGTTTTGTTTTGTTTTGTTTTGTTTTGTTTTGTTTTTTTGAGACACCTGTGGGACTTTATTAGATAAGCAGACACCAGGTCCAGCCACAGGCTTGAACCCTCCCACGGGGTATGGCCTCAGATATTCCCACCAGGTTCTCTGTCTCCCAGCCCCGCCCTGGGATTTCTCAGGGTCACAAATGTGTGCAGGGTCAGGGGTGTGCTGGTCACAGCGGGATGTGGTATTTAGGCCACCCCACCTCAGTCTGGTCCTGGCAGGACCCACACCTGGCTCTGCTGTGGGAGCTGAGAACAAAGACCCTGCCCACCCGGCTCCTGCTAGCCCCGGGGGCTCAGTCAGCACCCATCCTCCCAGTGGCCTGGACAGGGGCTGGGGTGCAAAGCCTCACTCCCTCCCTGTGAGCCAGACTGCAAATGCATCTCCCAAGAGTATCCTGAGGGGCAGGAAGGAAGCCTGCCCCTCCCTAGCCAGTGCCCACAACAGGGGGTGTCCTGGTGGGCAGAGTAGCCGACCTCCACCACAAGATCATTCTTTATAGCTCATCTCCAAATCAATCTCCTGACATTCTAAGGTATTTGTTCCCTGGTTGTAAGTCAGGGGTATATTCAGAAACAGAAGTGAGGACATACCGGAGACGTCCATCCAGGTGCGCCACGGATCCTGGTGACAGCGTGTGGACGAAAATGCCGGAGATGCACTGGAAGTAGGGAACGCTGCATAGACCAATGCCCAGGCCCACACCGGCCTCTGGAAGCAGAACAGGACAGGGTGGGGAGACCGGGACTGAGCTTTCCCAGAGGGCCTACCTGTCAATTGGGTGCCACAGACATGGACCCCTGGTTATTACAGCTTTCATCCCACCCGTATTCACGGAGTAGTCACTGTGTGCAGGCACTGCTCTAGAGTCAGAACAGTGACCAAGGCAGGCAAGGAATAGTGGGGAAAGACTAGTAAGGAAGGAGGGAAGGAGGGAGGAAGGGAAGAAGGGAAGGAGGGCACTAGATGAGAAGAGAGGACAGTATCTAAGAGTGATAAGTATTATATGGCAAGTGTATGCAGAATGTGCTGGAAAGTGAGGGATGGCTACATCAGGCCTCAGAGGAGACACTAGTTAGGCTAAAATGCAAGTGACAAGAGTTAGGAGTGAAGAGATGGGGCAGAGCATCTCAGAAGCAGAAACAGCCAACGCAAAGACCCAAGGGCAAAAGCAAGCATGCCATGTCATAGGACCAGAAAGGCCAGTGTGGTGGGGACACAGCCTGCATGGGAGAGCAGCACGTGACAGTGAGAGAGCGATCAAGCGCAGATTCAGTGGGGCTTTGCCAACAAGGGCATGTCAGTGAACGGGTTTATTCTCTACTGAGAGCGGATGCCATAGGAGAGCTGTGAACAAGGAAGTGACATGATGTCATTCCTACTTTTATGAACACATCTGGCTACTGTGAAGGGAAAGAACTATGGGTCATGGAGAATGGAAGCAAGGAGACCAGCTAAGAGGCCACTGTTGAGAGAGACAGTGGTGGACTTGGACTTCACCTCTAGTGAAGAGAAATGGATGCCCATGGAATATATTTTGAAGATAGACTTGCTGATGGATGAAGTATAGAAACTTAGCAGATAAAATCAAAATAACTTGGAGATTTGTTTGCCTTGAGTAACTGGGCAGATGGTGATGTGATTTACCAAAGCAGGGAAGGTTATAGAGGACCGGGGTTGTGAGGGTAAGACTGGGGGGTTCAGCTTTGCCCAGATGACATGTGCAATGTGCTGGAAAGTGAGGAATGGCTGGAAAGTGAGGAATGGCTATCTCTGGCTGCACAGGGAAGGGGGTGCTGTCAGGATGTCTGGTACTATCCCAGGGATGTGTAGAGCAGATGTTTGCACAGATGAAGCCAGAACCCAGAGGAGAAAGCAGGGTGGAAGCTGAAAGTTTGAACATAGCTGCATGTAGGTGGTGTTAGGGCCGTGGGACTGGATGGGATCCCCCAGGGTGTGGGAGAGGAGGGCCTGGGGCTCACCAACATAGAAACACCTGGAAAATGAGGAGCTGTCAGCAAGGAGGACCACATGGAGTGAGCACAGAGTAGGGGAAGCCCTTTACAGTTTTCTTTCGACACGTATGATTTACAGAGCACTTTGGCAAATGTTTTCACCTTCTCATGCTGGTTCTCCCAGCAGTCCCATGACGGAGGCCATGGCAATTGTTGGCAATCCCATTTTAAGGATGAAGAATTTGATAAAACTCAGGGCCCTTCCTACAGCCCAGGTGTCCTGACTAGAGCAGTTTTTCAGTCTAATGGGCGTCCGAATTGCATTAGATACTTGTTTAGAATGTGGATCCCTTGGCCTCACCTCACCCTGTTGAGCAAACACTGTTGAAGCAAAATCTCTGGGGGTAGAGTCTAAGAAGCTGCATTATATAAAATGAGCAAACAAAAATCCTCCCTAAGGTGTTTCTGATGCCAGTGATCAGCGGAAACACCACTCCGAGGCCATGCCTTTCCCATTTTATGCCTGCTCAGCGAATGCACTGAGGGAGCCCTGAATACAGCTGTTGGGATCATGCCAGCACAGACTTGTCTGCCCTTAGTCCTTATGCCAAGCATTCTGCCAGGCTTGCAGGCATACAGAGGCGTCTGAGGCCTCAGGGAGCTTCTGTTCTAGCAGGAGAGCTAAGACATCCATCAGGCAAAGCTGTATGCAAGGAATTAACTATGTATGCTTCCCTTCCACTTTGACAATTTATCTCAAGCCCATCCTCTTCTCTCCAAGTCCACTACTCCCAAGCTCTGACCCAAATGGCTGCAAGTGGTTTCTAAGCCTCTACTTTTGTCACACTATGGGCCATTCTCCAAGGAGAACCCTATTAGACATTTTTTGAAGAATAAGCTGTGTCACTCCCCTGCTTAGAAATCTTTAAAGGATTTCCAACTCCAGTTAGAAGAGAATCGAGCTGCAAAGCCCCACAGGGTCTCTTTGCCTCTGCCAAGTACCCTGATGTCAGCTCTCACTCTGCCCAACTAGCTCCAGCCATGCTGGCCTTCATTCTGCTCCTAGAAGACATGCTGGCCCCTGTGCTGCTGGCCAACTCTGTGCCTCGCTGCCTCCTCTTTATCCTCCAGGTCTCAGCTCGGTTGCATTCAGGCAGAGAGGGCTCCAAGCCCTCTGGAGTCAGCAGCCCACCTGGGGTGGCAAAGGGAATGGCTGTCTGTCCCTGAATGTCAGAAGTAGAAAGGACCTCAATTTTCTGCCACAGGTAGGGAAACAGAGGCCCAGAGAAAGGCAGGTGGCCTGCCCAGGGTGTCTTAGCATACTTACTGCTGAGCTACCACTCCTGGCCCATTGTTTCTCTCTCTCTCTCTCTCTCTCTCTCTCTCTCTCTCTCTGGGTATTTTTGTGTTTGAGTTTTTGTTTGCTTTGTTTTGTTTTATTTAAACCACTGACCCAGAACACATTGACTAGGTTCGAATGGTATGTCTTGAGCTTCTATAAACAGAAGACTAGACCTGGCTCCAAGCAATGGCCATAAAATGTGCTAAAAGACAACATTCTGCCCTGCCTCTGGACTGATTCCAAGTGGGGAAAGCCTGGGAGACTCAGCCAGTGCTGGGAGACCCAGGCAGGGGATGCAGCTGCAGCACTCTTACCTTTCTGCAGAGAAACCTCCACCATGATTCTGTAATTGGGCTTGGCAGTGCTGATGGGAGCCGAGGGGCTTTCCAAGGCGAAGGAGCTGCTGTCCTTGGTGATACAAGTGCTGGAGCTCAGGGAGCGGCACAGCGGGGGAGACAGGTGGCTGCACAGGGAAGGGGGTGCCATCAGGCGGGTTCTCACGGTGAGGGTGAGGAGCCCCTTTTTGGCTTGCTGAAAGGAAAGAGAGAGGGCTACAACATCCAGCAGCAATGCAGGGTGAGATGAAGAAATACTGTTTAAGGAAATGCAGCTCTGTGTGTGTGTGTATGTGTATGAAATATAAATGTGTGCACATATTCATACATGTTACAAATTAAATTATGACATATTTGTATATATACACACAACTACTACATATATCTACATATGCCAGATATATGGATGAATAGATAGATGTAAGGATAGATAGATGGACAAATAGATAGCCAGATGGAAGGATAGATAGATGAATGGATAGATAGATGGATGAATAGAGATAGATAGATAATAGATAGATGGATGGATAGATGGATGAATAGAGATAGATAGATAGATAGATAGATAGATAGATAGATAGATAGATAGATAATAGATGGAAGGATAGATAGATGGATGAGTGGATGGATGGATAGATAGATGGATGAATAGATAGATAGATGGAAGGATAGATAGATGGATGAAGAGATGGATGGAAAGATAGATGGATGAATAGATAGACAGATGGAATGATAGATAGATGGATGAATAGACACATAGATAGATAGACAGATAGATAATGGATGGATAGACAGAGTCGTGAATTGAACTAACTAGATGGAGACATAAAAATATCTTTTAGCAATTATCTTACAAACTTAAAACAGATTTGTAAATATACCATGATAAATACATGGAGTGTTTTAAAACAATTGTATAAATAGTAAAGGGTTTTAAAATCCCCCACAGCAATCCCGATCACACTATGGTTTCCGAGTCAGGTCTTCTTTTAACCTTGCACCAAGACCCACATCAGTGAGGTGCCTCATGTGAAGGGCCCCACAGTTTGAATTTGCAGGTTTGGACGCTGAGAGCTTGGTTTCTTTGCCTGAAGGCCCCAGAGTTTAGTCACGTGTTGATAAGAAACGGTCACCTTGAATTTCTGCAAAGCATCCTGATGTGTTAGTCCAGCCATTGATTCACCATTGAGCTCCAGAATTTCATCACCTGTTGAGAGAGAGAAAGTGTAGCTAAGAAGAGTGTTGCCCAATCAAAGGGCATTATCATTACCTTGAACTCTAGTCTCCCCACCTGCCCAACTCTTTGTATGATGCATGAAGCTCTGGAAGAACATTGTCTCATTTGGTGCTCTCCCCTTGCGAGGCAGGCAGGGCAGCAACATGGGCCTTCTCTGGCACCCCCTCTCTTCCAGGGTGAAACCTAGGGCTCTTAGCCAGGCACACAAATCCTGGTTGGATATGGTCCTTGCCCACCTCTTTGCTTCATCTCCTTCCTCCTTGCCTCCCTGACCCTCACACCATTTGCTCCCATGCAGCATTTTCTGATGCAACGCGACCTGCATTTTCCACAATGGTCTGTGCAGTTAAATGCTTGTCCATGCCATTTTCTCAAATAAAATGTACTTCCACTTTCTCCTCCTATTCCTTCTTAATCTTTAGGCCCTGCTACCTTTAGCTCCTTTGTACATTCATGTCACACTGTACCTACTGCACTTGTCACCCTGGGTGGTGATCAACGGCCTGCATCCTAAGTCACTCCCTGGCCAGGCTGGCAGCTTGTTGGGGACAGGGATTTTGTCTTATTAGATGATATATCCTCAGGACCAATGCTGGATGAGGAGTACAGATTGCTCAGTGGATGTGGTTTGGATATGATTTTCCAGAATGCAATGAAGACCCCATTTTACAATATAGAAAAGTGAACTCAGAGAAGTCCCAAATCACATGGTTAAAAAAAAAAAAAAAAAAAAAAGGACTTGGATCTTTTGACTGCAAGTCCTTTTTTCACAACAGTATACTTGTAGGAGAAACATTCTTCCTGTAACCAAAAATCCATCTCTATGTGAATAGAAAACCACTTTCTCCCTTTCTTTCAATTTGTTCAATACACAAACAAGGAGCACTTTCTCTGAATTCAACATTGTGCCAAGCAACTCAGATATAAATACTATGTTTACACTGACTTCTGGGCCTGGTCATTACTGATGAATCTGTTGTCACCTAATCATGGTTCCATTGTATATAATCCATCCTTTTTCTCTGGTTTCTTTTAAGGTTTCTTTTTCTAGCCGGGCACTGTGGCTCACACCTGTAATCCCAGCACTTTGTGAGGCTGAGATGGGGGCACCCAAGGCAACATGGCAAAACCCTGTCTCTACAAAACGTACAAAAATTAGCTGAATGTGGTGGCATGCACCTGTAGTCTCAGCTACTACAGAGGCTGAGGTGGGGGAATCACTTGAGCCTGGGAGATCAAGGCTGCAGTGAGCTGTGGTTGCACCACTGCACTCCAGCTTGGGCTACAGGGTGAGATCCTGTCTCAAAAAAAAAAAAAGAAGAGAAAGAAAGATTTCTTTTTCCTTTGTCTTTGATATTCTGCAGTTTTACTATGATGCGCTAGAGAGAAAGGAAACATTTTGTGTTTCCTCAAGCAGAAATATCATGCCTTAAGTCAGGTCTTGAAAATTATAAGCCACTATCGTTTTGCATATTATCTCTCCCCTTTCACTCTATTCTTTCTAAAATTCCTATTAAATGTATTTTGGACCCTTTCAACCCATTCTCCATATTTCTTTAGTGCTCATCTTTTTCTTCTTTGATCTGTGTGGCCTACTGGATAATTTCCAGTTCACTAATTCACCTTACAGCTGCATCTAATCTTCTGTTTAAGCCATCCATTGAGTTATTTATTGAAATGATTGCTTTTTTTGCTCATTTCCAAAAGTTATTTTTTTCACTTCCACTTATCTTTTTTACTGTGTTCTGGTCTTATCTTACAGTTTATATTCCTTTTTTATCTTTTAAAAATGATTTTAAATATAGATATTCTATAGTCTTTTTTAGATTGTTCTGTAATCTTAAGTTGTTAAGGGCTAACACTCCTCTTTGTTACTTCTGCTGACTTTCCTCAACAGTGGACATTTCCTGATGTATTATAGTATGTAATCTTTATAAACTCATTTTCAGGACATTCTGTTTTTCTATGGGATTCCCATATACCCCAGGTCACTGCCAGTTTTTCCTTTATTTCCATTTGGCACTCCAAGGTTTTCACTGGTTTAGGAGTAGTTTTCAAGTTAATTTCTTACCTTGGCATTACCTTTGCTTTACAGGAACTATAAATGTAACCCGCATGCCTATATATGACACAATTGTGATATTCACTTTTTGGTGAGAGATGTTTTTTGCCCATTGAGGAGCCATGGGTAAACTTAAGTTTCCTTGTTGCTCCTCTGGGGCCTGTTAGCTTTATTGAGGGGAAACTCTTTCATTATCAAGGCTGTATGCAGGTTCTCAGAGCCTCACATGGACCCAAGGCTCTGTTCCCTCTGCCCATGTGAGCATTCAAATCTGAGCTCCAGCCCTTAAGGTCTATAAGCATCCAGCAGCCCTCCCAGCCACATCATCAACCCCTGAGTTTGCCATTCTTAGATTTAAAGTTGTTTCTTTGTTTCTTAGCAGCTGGGCATTTCCATGTCTTTATTTTGATTTTGGATGTGCTATATTATTTCACAAGTCTACGTATTGGAAACAGAGGCTGGAGGCAGGGTGGGGAGAGTATTCAAATCAGTTCCATCTCTTAGATTGCTGGAGCCAAAGTGAAAAATAAAAGGAACCAGTCCTTGTCATTGTGAGACTCCAAGTCTGGGAAGGAAAATAGATACATTTAAAACATCAAAATATAATTACATGTGTGCTGAAGGAAGGATAGACAACAAAAATTCAGGATGTCCATTCTTAATTACCTAAGGGGCTGGACTTCTCTTTAAGTTATTAGAATGTCCCTCTTACTGGGGCCACACAGCCCAACTCTGGGCTTTTTGGAATGTCCTCTCCTTATTTGGCTATATCTGGTAAAAGCTGGTTGATTAGGTTTTGCCAAATAAATCTTACACAGTGGTTTCTTGGAAGGGGAATAAAAGTAAAACATTAGTAGCCTTGATCTGCACACAAAATTTTTGTTAAAATTAATGTATTTGCCCTGAATTCAAGATTCAAATATTTACTTTTAAAAGAAGTTACAAAAGATGATTTGTTCAATGTTTGAGGCTAGAATCAGGGATCGTACACTAGCTGAGAGTCTTGACTCATTGAAATCTTCAATTTTTGTGATTGCTGTTAACTAAGGGAGGCAAATGCTCAGAAAAAAATAAAAAGGTTGGCTCACGCAAGCTCACATTCAGGAAAGAAAACAAAACACAATATTCTCTTTTCTTGCCACTTCAACCCTTCCCCCACCCTTTGTTTAAACACAGAAAAGTACAAAAGATAATAAAACACACAATGGCACACTCTCCCAGTTCTGATCCCACTGTTCTTTTTTCCTTTCTTTGACATTTGCTCTCCACCACCCTCTTGATTTAGCTATTCCCCTAGAACTGCATCTGGGCCCTGCCCTCCCCTCCCCTCGCCCCCCTACATCTGCTCGGTAACTTCAGCTGTTTTTCTCATGTCCATGTTTCCCAAACGTCTGCATTCACTTCTGTCTTCCTGAACGGAGAGAGAACGGATGTCATTCCCCTGCTGGACAGCGCCACCTCGTGGTCATCCAGGGACATCGCTCTCCCTTCTGCCACTCAAACCTACACATCTGGTTTGCCTTCCTTTTCCTCCTCCTCCTCCAGTGCCTCTTCCTCTAGGTAAGGCAATGTCTTTCTCTAGTTTACTAAGACCAGAAACCTTCCAGTTCTCTCTGACCTGACCCGCCCTTTGCGACCTCTGCTCAGGCTCTGTCACTTCTCTCATCTGCTCCCTTCTCCTCCCGGGGTTACTGCCTCTGGGCAGTCCTTGGAGCTGGAGACTGGGGCTCACAATGGCCCACTTCATCCTACATTCTGCTTCCTGAAGCCTCTGAAAACCCTGGTCACAGTCCCTCCCATAGTATAAAAGCCTTCAGAGGCTCCCCATTGCCCACACCCTAAAATCTGTGTGTGTAATTCTGCATAGTGCTGGGGTTGGTAAACTTTTTCTGCAAAGACTCTGATAGTAAAGGTTTTAATCTTTGTGAGCTGCAACCACTCTACACTATGCTGTAACATGAAAGCAGCCCTGGATGACGGGTATGTGGATGAGTGTGCTCGAGTCCCCAGAAAGCTTTTTTATGGATACTAAAATTTGGATTTCATTTCGTTTCATTTTCACATATCATGAAAGAATCAAAAACACTTTTAAATGTTCAACCATTTAGAAATGTAAAAACCTTTCTTTGTTCATGAGATATTGAAAACAGTGGGTGGGCCAGATTTGGCCCACAGACTGTAGTGTGCCTACTCTGCCCTAAGCAAGTTAGATGATTAAAGGTGGTTAGGCTCCCAGCATAGCTTACAGAAACCGAACTGACAGAGAAGAGTGAAAATGCTGTGAAGTTACTTCTCTTCAGACCTCTGGTGTATGACCCAGTCCTTGGCCTGCGGTGGGTACTCTCTGCCCTGTGACTTCCAGCCCCTGAACTTTGCCTCCTGAGTTGAAACCTGGCAATCTCTTTGGGCCAAACCTGTTGCTCAATAATCCATGCATGACTTTAGGGTGGAGTTGGGGGTGGGGGGGAACCTGACTCTCTAGGACAAGAAGACAGGCAGCTGTTTCCCTGGCCCCTCACTCCCAGGATGGCTGAGGCTTCTGTACTGTGAGGATATGAAAGAGTTGAGAGGGGGTGGGTCAATGGGAGAAGGGTGGGTGGGGAGTGGAAGAGAGGGTCCCTGGCTGGCAGATTATGAGCTCTTCAAAGCAGGAATCATGCCTGATTGTTTCTCTCTCTCTTCCTAGACCCTAGAATTCAGTAGGCTCCTAGTGAATGTTTATCAGACTCATCTGTTACAAGGGTTGAAAGCATTGAACCTGGTTTCCCTATGGTTGTGGGTTAGGAAGGACAGGAAGAATGAAGGAGAGGGGGTGTTAACGGATCCCAACAACTGAGACAGGATCTTGGATGGAAAAGGAAAGACAGCTGAGAGAATGGGTGAGAGGAGGGGAGGGTCAGAAACAGACCCCTCAGACTTCAGTCCCACCCAGGCTAGCACCACAACCAGCTAAGGGGTAACGGTGCCAGGTAACATGTGCAAACATACACAACCAACCTGCCAGTCATAATGAAGAGCCCCTCGGGGGAGCTGTGTCCCCACTGCCTGCAGACCCCAGAATCCATGCCGGCCGTATCCTGACAGCTCAAGACACATTTTGCTTTCCCAACATCTTCTATGGCCCCAGCAATTCTGGATTCTGCTTCTGTTTCCTCCACCATGGTCTGAAAAGGGCTGGGAAGCCTACCTTCCTGTAGCCTTCCATCGGCTGCTGCTGCTCCCCCTGCAAAAATGGTTTTGACGTAAATCCCAATGGGGCCATAAATGCTGTCTTTTCCCCCAACGATGCTGAAGCCCAGACCCTGGGGAAAGAAGAGAAGGTCTGATTTAGGGGTAGTAGTCCATGCTTCTCACTGGGCTGATGCTTTCTGAGGGCCTGCCTCAGCCTTGAACAAAGGGATTGGGAAGGAAAGAAGGTGCCTTTGGTCTCAAAGGTCTCAGGACTTAACAACAACAACAAAAATAGCAAGAGCAGCGGCATGAGGGCCAGCCTGGGCTGGGTAGTGTCTGGAGCTTTTGTGGGAGTCTGATGCTCCCCACACAGAGGGAGGCTGGATGGAGATCAGCACCCTGGCTCTGTCCCTCCAGCTGGCAATCCTGGGCCAATCACTTTCTGCTTCTGAGCCTCAATTTCCCTCCTTTTAAAATAATGATAATATTACCTAATTCACAGGGTTGTGTTTGAAAGTAAAATACCTAGCAACAATCATAAAAATATCAACAATAGTAATAATAGTAGCAGCTTTACAAGGGTATCCCTTCTCCTACCAAAGGCCTCTTCAATCCCCTTCTCATGGACATCCCTCCAATCATGTGCTCTCTCTCCTGCACCTGCTCTGCCATTGTCCTAGGTGATTCCCATGAGCCAACAAACATATGCTGGGATTGTGCAGGTGACTCTGGGAGGAGAAACTCATAGCTCAGCAGATAGTCCCAGCTGGGGAGAAGCCAGGAGGCAGTAGAGAGAAGGCCAGACAGGAAGAAGTCCAGGGAAAGGCTGAGTGAGCTCTACAGCAGGAAGAGAAGGGAGGGTGGGCACAGCTTCCCCTGCAAATCTGCCAGTGAGTTCACAGAACAGCCTGGCAGACCTGAAAAGCAGCATAGGAAATGCATACGGCTTGCTCAATTTTTTTGAGGACTAAGGTACCCCATGCTGCCCTCAAGGGCATAGCTTGAATCTAATAAGCAGCTTTCTAGACTATAAGCTCTCTGAAGACAGTAAATATGTCTTATTTCTGTGTCTGGCATCAGGCAGGCGCTCAAGAAGCACGTATTACAGGATAAAGGCATAACTGCCACCTGGAGGCCAGGTTTTGGGGTCCAACCTACAAGCACGCCAGGCAGTGGCCAGTAGCTGGGCTCCTAGACAGACCCTTTAAAGTGATGGCCACTGCTGTAACAGGCCCATTGCTCATGGGCAATTTACTCTAGGCTAGAGCCGCTCTGCTAATTAGGAGCATCAACACGTGCCACAGAGACAGCAGGCTGTCCGCCATCTTCTTGACACTGTAGGGAGTCAGTGGGAGAGCCGTGGGGATGTGCAGCTATTCTAAGCCTCTGGTGAAGGTGGTGTGTGTTCCAGGATGGGCAGGACAAATGGTGTCTGGGAGTAGCACAGGTTTAGGAAAAGGTGAGGTAGGAGCCACTTCAGGGCTCCTCTATGGGCCCCCAGCCTCGTCCTGGCTGAGACAGCTGCTCTAGACTCAAAGTCTCACCCACCCTAGGGACCCAGGATGGCATCATGGTTAAGAACAAGGCCCAGGGGTCAGGCAGCCTGGGGTCATTGCCTTGGTTCAGCTGCTCACTAACCAAGTAAACTTGGACGAGCCCTGCAATCTCCCAGGTCCTCCGTCTCCATATATCGATATACAAAATATACACATAGATATTCATTAGAGATAGCGTCTCCCTCTGCTGCCCAGACTGGAGTGCAGTGGCTGTATCACAGCTCACTGTGGCCTCGAATTCCTGGACTCAAGCAATCCTCTCACTTCAGCCTCCTGGGCAGCTGGGACTATAGACATGTGCCATCACACTGGGTTAATTTTTATTTTATTTTATTTTATTTTATTTTATTTTATTTTATTTTATTTTATTTTATTTTATTTTACTTTATTTTATTTTTGTAGAGACAGGGTCTTACTCTATTACCCAGGCTGGTCTCCAACTCCAGGACTCAAACAGAAGGCCTCCCAAAGTGCTGGGACTACAGGCGTGAGCCAGTGCACCCGGCTCCACGTCTATAAAAGGAGATAATAGGAGGGTTGTTGTGGGGATTAAAGGAGTTACCATTGCAAAGCCCACAGCACAATGCCTGGGTTTTGGTGGTTGGTTTTATTGTGTGATTTGCTTTTGACTCTACCTCAAGCACTTGCTGATTCTTCTGGCTCTAAATCCTCCTCCCCCTGCTTCACTGCTACTTGTCATCCTGTTAGTGACGAGATCTTGGGGTGTAGGTTGTATCGCCAGATAGTGGGAAGCCTGCTTTATTTCTGAACTTATCATCCCTGCTCTGTACATGAGGATTTCTATATCAAATGATTCATCTTCTTCCATCCCCCGGCCTCATAAAAATTACTCATGGAATGCACATTTTGTGCACACTAAGATAACTTAAACCATTTTTGGTCATCTTTGCATGAGTTTTGGTGGCCTTTACCATTTCACCTTCTTTTGGGCACTGCAAACAATTTAAAAGTCAATTTTTAAAAAATTACTTCTACCTAAATTCAAGGGGAAAAAGCATTGTGATTTACTAATCAGAAAATGGGGTCGTTCAGAGAAAGTCAGCATAGAAGACAGCTACTCCCTTGTGATGAGAGGAGCATTCATCCCAGCATCTCTCATGTCTATCTTCTGTTTTATTTCCTGCTAAGCTCCCAGGAGACAGAAGGAACAGGAGATGGAGGGAAAGAGGACTGGAGGTGTGTGGTGGGGCCCCTCCCACTGGACAGACCGTAAGTAGCAATTAGGTCCTCCCCTCATACCACACAAAAAAATATATTACATAAAGAAACCGCCCTTTCATTATTTTAGCACCTGGGCTGCTCGGGCTGGCCTGAGAACTTCGCAGTCAACCTCAAGCACAGGGTGGCATGTTCTGGGAGCAGTGCAAACATGTGTACACCCCCTACCTCACCACCACCACCAATGCTTTCAGATCCCCTTTGGACATATCTCAATTGTGAAGCAGAGATCAGTACGATGCTTCATCATCTTGAGAGAGGTAGAGTTAGTTCTGACTCTTCTGGAGGCTCCAATTAACAGCCAAAAGCACTATCAACCACTGAATTTTCCACATGTAATAGGTAGCATATGTTTTTATAAATTAATATATGGGTCCCTGCTTTATTATGCCAACATCTGAATGGCAGAGGCAAACTCAGGATCCAGAAATCTATGTAAACAATTTGGATTTATGTATCAGATAAAATTAAGTCTTGGAAACTTGTGCCAGGAATGAATTAGAGAACAAGATTTGAAAGTGCTAAGGCAGCTGGCAGGGACTGGCACCCTTTACAAGAAAATGATCACTTTGTCTAGTTAGAAAAATCTGTGCTGCTTGAACTCAGCCAGTTGTGAGTTTTGAAAGACTAGCCACTCTGTGTTTGTCTCTTCTGATGTGCCAGGACACCCCAGTGGTCCTATTCCCATCCTTTCCTGGACACAGCAGCTCCTTGGAGACTGCTGCCGCTCCCCAGGACTTCTTGTTGGCCACAATCCCTTCTCACCTTAGCCTGGCCCTTCATCAGCACGATGTTGGAGATGACTGAAGCCTGGAGGCCCCCAGATGGCTGCACGAGCTGAGCTGTGCTCAGGGACCGTGTTGGCCTTGAAGTTCCCTGCAACAAGGAACCAGAGTGGGCAGAAGATCAGCCACATAGGACAGTAGCACCCGCCTCACCAGGAAGGGGAAAAGCCCAGCCAAAGAGAGGAACCAAGTCCTCTTTCTTCTAAGGGCAGGCAGCATAATGACCAGAATGTGGTTAGTGGGGTGTGGGCAGGATTCTGGTGGCGAGGGACTTCCTTGGTTCTAGGAGCCTGTTTTGCTGAGCCTAATGTAGATGAGCAGCCAAAAGGCTCACCAACGTTTGTCAAGGAAGTAGGCCCAGGTTAATGTCACAGAACACGCTGCCTCCAGGACAAGTCCTCATAACTGATGTCTCAGGCAGAATCTGGGAAGCCAGCTACCAAGAATGCCCTGAGACGATGTTCAATCCAAGACACATTGACTGAGAACTCCCCTTGTGCCAGGCAGAAGGTGGTGGGCAAAGGGGCAGAACCCAAAGACTTCAAAACTCAGAATGTAATTTTGGGGTAGGCAGACAGGCAGTTAACTATTTGTGAATGAGAAGCAGAGCTTCAATTCTTTTCAACACAGCCTTCCAGGCAGCTACTACTGGCTGACATTTAGCCCATCCCTGCCGGCCAGGTAGGCTTCCTGTTCCCAAGGACCTGGATCCTAGTGCATGAGGCAGCAAAGACAGGAGGCAGCTTCCCCCAGGAAGTACCCGCTGGCCCAATCCTCAGGGACCCAGCGCTGGCTGCAGATATTGGAGGGCTCCAGTGTACTCCTGTATGACCCCAGATGTGCAGAAAACCAGGGACTGGGAAAGTTCTCAGCTCAGGGTGGCACCAGGGAACCATCTTCTTCTAACACTGGGACACCACACTCCCAGTTTGGGAATGAAAAACATATTGACTCAAGGAAAGGAAGGAAAGAGAGAAATGAAATTCACTGAGCATCTATTATGTACTATGCAGGGAAACATTGCTCGACCATAGAGCCCCCGCTTGGGAGAGTCAGTGGGTGAGATGAAATGCTAACATAAATGACACTCACAAGACAGGCTGCGCGAGCACTGTGAGAGGAGTGCAGCTGCCTCCTGATGGGTATTTGGGAAAATGTGAAGTCCACGCCTTTGGAGGGATCAGGATCGTTCCCAGGAGAAAGGGAACCTTAGGAAGATTTTTGAAGGCTGGGGCAGTTTCTAGAAATAGAGATCAGAGAAGGAGGGGTGAGATGCTACAGACAGAGGGCGCTGTGTGACCAAAAGTGGCAGCGTGCAGCACAGCGTGCTTTGGCTGGGGCTGAAAGGCAAGCTGCGGGGGACGTGTGTAGGGTACACTGTGCTTTATACCTGCTTAGCTCTCTGCCTGCAAGCTGACACCTGTAGTGGGAAGGTCATAGACTGAGGAGCACACAGGGCAGTTTAAATTCTGGTCCCATAGGTTTTAAGATGCATAAACTCAGCTGCTCACCTTGCCAAGCCTCAGTGTCCTACTATAAAATGG